ATTTCTTCAAAATCACTGTTCTTGCAACTGGGGAGTTGGTGTTCACCATGCATCATGCTCTGTTTGATTTCTGGTCTAGTCGCTTTATATTTGATGACTTGTCCAATTTGATCCGTACACGCCCGCTAGCTAATCGCCCTCATTACAATCAGTTTGTTCGACACCTTGCTCAGAGGGACAAAAATACAAGTCGAGAGTTCTGGCGCAACTACCTCAAGGATTCCAGGCCATCAAAGCTGGGACATATGCAAGGGACAAATACTACTGTCACATTGGACTTATCAACTCCAATTCATTCAGCTAGCAGAGCCCTTGGTGTGTCAGTCGGCTCGATGTTATATGCGTCGTGGGCGCTTGTCCTTTCTCACATCCTTGGAAATGCCGAAGTAATCTTCGGTATTACCCTCTTCGGTCGAGATGTGCCAATACAAGATGTTCTGCTCATGCCAGGCCCGACTGTTATGCAGGTCCCACTCCGTATTGAAATTTCAATGTCCTCGGCAATCAATAAAATTGCCAAAGATATTCACCACCAATTACAGATTATATCAGATCATGCTCACTATGGACTGCGAAACATCTTACTGGCCGCGGATCGCCCTTCCAGCTTCTTTGACACTTCTGTCAACTTCTTGGTAAAGCCCCCTTCTTCGGATGCCGATGAAACCTTCACATTTATTGCTGAGAAGCAGCCAGACTTGACTGAATATATCAAAATTGAGGCACGCGACCCTGACCTTAGCAATATTTCCTTAGCATCAACTCTGAACCCGGTATTTGCGCAAAACATCCTTTCCGGATTTTCCTCCGTTCTTGACGCATTTTTCTTTGATGCACAGATGCTTGTTGGCGATCTAAATTTATCCTCAATACTGGACTCCACTTCCCAAACTACTACACCTGAACCTCAACAGAATGTCCCCGCATCTCAATTTGCACATTCCATGTTCGAACACCGAGTGGCTCATTCCGGAGATAGGACTGCTGTAGAGGACGAGCACGGCAATACTCTATCCTACACACTGTTAAATGAGCGGGCGAATCAATTGGCCAACTTCCTTCGATCCAAGGGAATCCGTCCAGAAGATGTAGTCCCTATCTATTTCGATAAGTCAATCAATATGGTGGTTGCTATACTGGCAATATTCAAAGCTGGTGCTGCGTTTTGCGCTTTAGACCCGACAAGTCCTCCAGCGAGGACAAATTTCATCGTGAAGAAAGTTGGGGCAAAAATGGTCCTCAGTGATCTTGCCAGCTCTAGTTCTGTGAGCCTTTTTGACTGTGTTCTAATTGTGCTTGACCAGCTGGATATTTCCCATTTTGATGCCGGAAATGTCATCGATCCAACAATGTCTCCTGAGAACCTTGCTTATGTGCTTTTCACGTCTGGGAGTACTGGTGAGCCAAAAGGGGTCCTCGTTACTCACGGTAATGTCTTCCACGCTACTAGAGGGATGGTTGAAGCTACTCAAGCAGACGATTCTTGGAGATCACTATGGGCCCTCAACTATATATTCGACGGGTCGTACTTCGATCTTTTCACAGTACTTGGCGCTGGTGGAACTCTTTGCGTCGTCAGTCAATCCAAATTGTTCTCGAATCTTGCTGGATTTGTCAATGGCCTCGATGTCACCCATCTTAACTTGACGCCTACTATCGTCAAGCAACTTCTCAAACCATCAGATGTACCAGGTTTAAAGGTGCTAATCGTTGGCGGAGAGCCTCTTGTACCAGAGATTTTGGAAACTTGGGCGACTCGCATTCCGGTCTATAATAATTATGGACCCACGGAAGGAACTGTCATGGTGACAACCGCAGTCATCGGACCGACCAGCAGCCTAAACAATATTGGCTCCGCGCTATCCACCGCGGTTTTGTCAGTCTTTGATTTCGACTCACAGACCCCCCTGCCCCGAGAGGAAATAGGAGAGTTATGCATTGGTGGACTCCAGGTAGCCCGGGGTTATTTAGATAACCCTAAAGCCACACGCGCGGCCTTTTTTGTTGGAAATGATGGGACGACAATATATCGTACGGGTGACGCAGCTCGCCAGCTACCTGACGGACGATTTGAGTTGTTTGGCCGGAGAGATAACCAGGTGAAAGTCAATGGCTACCGTATTGAGCTCGGAGAAATTGAAAACGCCATCCTGAAAACTGGAATGCTGAAATCTTGTGTGGTTCTCGCCGCTAAAGTGCGTGACAAGACGCAGCTCGTCGCTGTTGGCCAACTCCACTCGGTCTTCTTTGGTGATAATGAAGCTAATCCCGCCCTGTTCTTGCCCCCGTCAGACGCATATCCCTTCCAGGAGTTGCAATCAAGTCTGACTTCTCTTGCACGTTATATGCTCCCAGCGATTTGGTTTCCTGTTACACGTCTTCCTCTTCTGCCGTCGGGGAAAACTAACCGGAAGGAGATGTTGAAATTCATCGAATCAATGGAGGATTCCCTGGTCGCAAGCTACCAAGATCCTCTCTCTATCACTATCAATAGCGCTTTAGATTTCCCGGTTCCTGAAACCAACGAAGAAGAAGTGTTACAACATGCATGGAGTTCCATATTCAATTGTGATGACCCTGTCAGAACTACGTCTAGTTTTTATTCACTTGGTGGCGACTCCATCGCCGCTATCAACCTTGTCAGCGAGTGCCGCAAGCTCGGGTATGAGTTGTCCGTTGCTGATATTTTGGCATTTCCTTCCATTAAGGAGCAAGCCCGAATAATCAAACCTTTGAAAACGGCCAAGGCAGTTCAGTCGATGTCTCTTGATTTATTCACAGTCGAAGACGATATCTACGATACTTTGAATAAATCAGGCGTTCGCGAAGCCGACATCGAGGCGATCTATCCCTGCGTACCAGGCCAGATTGAATTTCTCACGCAAGGCCACACTGATCACCAGTTCTGGCAACTCCAGACGGTTCGAAAGGTCCCATCTGATTTTGATGTTGAGCGATGGGTGGAACTTGTTGAAAAGCTAACCGCCAGAAATACGATTTTGCGTTCCATGTTCGTCAAGAGCCTGAAGCATAAGGAGCCTCCAAAATGGGTGCAAGTTGTTTTGAAAGAAGCCGTTCTGGACTTGGAAACAATATATTACCACAGCGCCGAAGAGCGAGACCAAATTATCGACCTCCTGTGGAATGGTCGATTCGCAGTGGGTAAACCTTTTATCCAATACCGAATTTTGAAGTCAACGCAAGATGCTACGCTTGATCTCTATATTAAAATAGATCATGCCATGTATGATGGCACCCTGCTTCGTATATTTGACGATCAGTTCGTCGCTATGGCTAGGAATGAGGAACCACCACAGCCCACAGAGTTCACCGAGCTTATAAAATATCATTCCGCGAGTGACTCTGACAAAATGCTCAAGTTCTGGGTGAATCTACTCCAAGGGAACAAATTTGATTATCTTAACCAATCCTTAGAACCAAAAGTTGGAGGAATGCTCACCAGGGATTTTGGAGTCGAGGTCAACGACTTCGCACACCGTATCGGAATCACCATACCCATTGTATTTCAGACAGTTTGGGGTTTACTTCTAGCGTTTCTAAGTAACAGCCATGATGTCACGTATGACAACCTCCTAACCGGTCGCAACGTGAACCTTGACAATCCGCAACGGATCAATGGCAACTGCGCTAATTTCCTCCCTTTCCGAACTCAGTTCCAAAGGGAAAAATCTCTTAGGACTCTCCTTCACGATACGCAGACACTCCTCTGGGAGACCACTGAGAATGGGATGGTTGGCCTTGCAGATATCTACAATGCTCTTGATATTGATCGGAACAGAAGTGGTGCTAAGACCATGTTCTGCTTCCAACCGTTCGATCCCCCACCCAAAGCACTTGATGCACACATGCGTTGGATCGTCATGGGCGTGAGCCAGAACAGGATGTTTTTCAACTACGCGCTTATGTGCGAGGTATTCAAGTCCCCGACAGGTTACAAAACGAAATTCCAGTACGATCCAAGAACGATTGATGAAACTGCGGTTGAAAGAGCTGCAGATGCATTTACATCGATTTTCAATTTTATTTTGAGATGCACAGAGGAGAGCAGCGTCGGAGATCTGTATGTTGATTTGGAAGGGGATTCCCTAGGCAAACACTTGTGTGATTAATGTAAACGAAATAAATAGGAGATGAACCGACATTAGTTTGTGATGTCTTTTTGATTTCTCTTTTTAATTTCTGTTTTTTGTTCTGATTTTTGTTCCCTGGAGTCAAGGAGTTAAAAGGTGTATCTAACCCTAGAATTAGAAATTTAGAACGATCCATCCTTTCCGAAAAATCAACTGTAATTTCGATTGATACTATTCTGGACTTTGCGGATTATGATGAAAAGGAATTTAGCTTTTGGATAACTACATATAGTTAGATGGTTACATCAAAACTAGACGCGGAATGACTTAAAATAGCATCCATCCCAAATCGATACAGTATCTTTATAGAAAATCAGTCCAGAAATAGTAGAAGAAGGTACTAGAACATCATTTCTAGAGGAAAAGATATTAACATATGCGATGGAAAGATACGAAGGAAATTTGCCATTCCATTCCACATGGGGGATGCGAGGTACACAAAGAGAAAGGGTATACGAATTTCAAAATATAACATGAGGCAGAAAGAAATTTTGCTTGGGTCTTACTCCATCATTCATCGTTCTCATCATGTCTACTAAATTATAATGGAAGGAGATGTCGTGTCAGGTATATAATAAAAGTACAAAAATGCTCCAGAGACCGTCACTGGTAAAATAGAGGAGTCGAGTCGATGTCGATGTACCACCTATTACTAAGAGTAAAGAGACAACAAAAGAAAACATAACGCCGCTCATGAGGGAACAAAAGAAAATAACCGAACAAAACGAGGAGAGCAAGGAAAAACAAAACTTTTTACAGACAAATAAATCCCACTTAAACAAGATAAATTAAAACAGAACTCCCCTTAAAAAGGAAAAAGTAGACCCATTTGCAAACACCAGAACAGTCTCAACGATCCACACTCTCAACAATCATCTCAATATCCTTGATGGGATGAAGCAACATAGGAGGCAAACACATCCGTCCCTCGGTCGCCATCTCATACTCTTCCCCACCACCGCCATCAACCCTATATCCAAGCCACCGCCGCCAAAGATTTGCTGAATGGATGGCAGAATAGAACCACGTCGTACCTCTGAAATTATGCTCCCGGTCGCCGAATACAGATAACCTGGATGCTCCAGTTGCGCCATTGCGGCCGGCATTAAACGTTGATTCAAGATGCTTGGTCGGCCAGCGACGATCGATGTACACAGGGTGGGGAGCATAGACGGCTTTGAGACCGTGGTGGAGCGCAGTTGTGGCGGGCCACATCTCTGAAAACATCGTGTGGCGTTTCATACTTGTCTCAAGGTGCATTATGGCCAGAAGCTTGCGTGATAATCGCGAGGCGGCAACAATTGCTGCGCGGCGGGGAGGCCCTCCATCCTCTCTGTTGTATCCAGTTACATCATCGCGGAGAAGCCAAGTGGTTCCTACTGGATCATAGAGGGGGTTGAAGACGATTAAGTCGGCATCTTCACCAACGCCCCACACGTAGTTGTCCTTCTCGTAGGTTGTTGGGGGGATACCTTCACCCTCGACTTCGAAAATGTCCTGCTCATGCGGTCGTTCGGGGCCCCAGATTGGCTTGTCTGCTTTGATCGCCTCTGGGAGGATTTTAGGGTGACTTTTAGCGGGTTTGGCCCACATATTATTGAGACTGTCGGTTCCAATCTCAGTTTGCACGCGGATCATTTGGCGGAAATCTTCCCAGGACCCGTGCACGGATGGAAGGTAGAATCGCGAGTTGCGCTCCCAAAGGCCCTTGCGTGGTTGTTCTCTCGCCCACTCACTAACCTTGTGGAAGAAGTGATACCAGTGTCCAGTGTATCGGATATCCATTTCCCAATTCCAGATGAAGTCATATTCAGGATGTCGATAGGAAAAGTATTGGATGGGCATAAAAGTGCTCCTGTAAACTCCATGGACAGGGAGGTCTCGAGCGAAGGTCTCTTCAAGACCACCATATATCAGGCCCATTTGTCTTTCTGACCACAGTGTGCCCATTCCGCGGAATTCGTTCGGTAGAGAATCTCTAAGAACACGACGGTAGGTATCATCGTCCGACCAAATTTGCAGGTTGTCATCTTTCACTTGTATCAAGAAATGAAGTGTGTATTCCGCTCCAGATGTCAAGGATAACTCTGTAATTAAAGAACGCAAATACATGATTTCTTCCTTGTTGTATTTGTAGTCACTCCAGGTTCGAATGATAACAGCCGTTCGTGGAAGTTTCAATGTATCGTTGGCGGCTACAGCGTCTTCATTGCCCTTAGGCTGTGTAGTTACGGGCCCCTCTTCTTCGTACCTTGCATCCAGAGTACCCAATGGCACAGCAGCAACCCGATCCACCCTTGGATGTTCAAGCTTAGAAAATCGATGGCTGTTTGCAGCTGCACAGCGGTCTTGTGCTTCCGCCCATTTGACGGCTCGGAAATCGACAGGCGGGACATCTTCCCATACCTCAGCTACCCCTGATCTGTCGCCCTCCAGGCCAGCCCCACTCCCGCCTGAGGCAACGCCATAGCCAAGACCGTACGGACCAAGCCGTCCAAATCTATCGAAACACACATCGTCATTTATGCCCAAGAGCTTATTTGATCCCATCGCAGCATCTGGAAATCCTTTGGGTATACCTGGGAAATGTCGTACCGGTGGGATCGTCATTCTCTTCTCAGCATCCAGAAAGCAGTCACGCTTCACTCCATACTTTTCAATATAGTTTTTGGATTTGTAATCCGGATAGGGGTTGAAAACCATACTCCTCATCGCCTCAGCTTTCTTTCCCGACTGCTCCCCTTTTACGTCACCTGTTGGCAAATCCATAATCTTTTCGACCATCCCATCAACTGGGTACTCAGGGACATTATCTTGCCTTGGAACCAGTGTCTTTATCCCCCCGTAAAACCGGGTGAGGAATGGGAAATCTTCCCACTGAGCTGATTTGGGCTTCTGGTTTGGCGGGTTCAGTCGCACAACGCTGAACGAGGAGCCAGCAATGCTAAACCGGAATAGAAATGCGACAAACAGAAGCAAACCCATGAATACGGCCCAACATATCCGTCGCATAACAGAATGTGGCACTCTGTAGAGGTGAAATCTCCGTTTCCGTTTCACTGGGAAGTTGCGGCAGCCTAGTATGGGTTCCACGGAAGCAGTTGTGTCGTAGGGAGAATCTATGTAGACCGCGGAGTCTTCATCATGGTCGAAAGAAGCGCGTCGGGATGGGCAGGAATAATACTGTTTCTCTGCGTCTGTTTCCAACATGAGACATTGGGTAATGTCATCACGGAAATGAGAAGAGGCGTGGCGGCGTGTCATTTCCTTCTCGATAAGGATGCAAACCAGGACAGTAACGCTGACGGGGATGGGGGTGGAATAAATGATGGAGGGATAAGGAAGCTGTCAAACTGAAGTTGTCCGAATCGCTGTATCCACTAACAAATTGGGCCGTTGTATGGAATGCGTGGTAGCTACAAAACTTAACCGGACGTCATGTAAATCCGAGGATACCAATCACTAACCCAGCAAAAGATCGCTGCTATCCACATATAAACACAGATAGCAAACAGCTTATTATATTTCCTCAAGGAGGCCAATCGGCGAAAAATCAAGGAGACGAAGGGGCTCTGCAGTCAGTTCTGACGACGCTGCACCCTGAGGAATAAAAATTATCGTCGTCAAAAAGGAAAACATGAACCCACTAAGCATCCGCAAGGAGCCTCGAAGGACACCCATGGTTTGTTCCGCTCGTTTGGCCGACCAATCAGGGCACATTCGCTAGTCCCAATATGTACTAGCGGTCCCGGTTTAATCCCCATAGCAACCGGCACGGACGTGCTGACTAAGGATATCCGGGAGTTTGTGTTGGAGGATTCCCCGGCTACCCGATGTCACGTGCACCGATATATTTATTAGTTGTAGCTTAGCTCGCTTAGAGTCCCACGATGCAATAAGGTTGATATCGGTCCTCTAAGAGTATGGAAGGTGGAAACATAATTAAGGAACGCCATATTTCTGAAGCCCTAATTAACCAAAACCGTCAACATCGAGACCTGGGTGGTATTGCAGATGGCCCCGCGTACTAGCCATGAGAGCGTTCCAGAGGCCGTATCCAACCTCGAATTCAATGCGCGAATGCCTTCATATAACAAGGGAGATCCCGATGTTGGTTTCTTACTATTGATAAGATCCAGTGAATGAACCAGTTGCCGCTGAACCAACAACCCCTTGGTCTTTTCCGGGGCGGGCAGTTGTGCCTTTGTAAAGAGGCCAGTCGGGCCAAGTTCCCTTTCTCATAATCTCGAGGGAACCGCGGTTATCGGACAGGTTAGACAGATATAATACAAAAAAGGGAGCGGAAAGGTTTCCCCAAAGCATCACACCCCCCCTGGAGATTCCAAAAGCCAATCGAGAAAATGATAATTTTGTGCTTTTCATGCTTCTTATTGCTTGATTTCCAAGGGTCAATCGATGCCGAATGAAAAGATGCTATGCTGGCTGACCCTCTCGTCGGCACCGATAAAATAATTCCGGTATCGCGTTCTTGGTCAGCAGGTGATTAGTTAAGCTCTGCAGCCCATGTTAAGCTCCCCTGGCATTCAGGCGGTCAGGCTGTACGAGAATCCCAAATATTGGGTTGGAAAAGGGTAAGTTGCAATTCGACATAAAAGGCTAGAGCGAAAGAGCACCTCCGCATGTGCTGTAGCCCATGCATGTTTGAGAAATGCATCATAGGTGTGCTGCCACCTTGTTTTGGTGGGGTCTCTTGAATGCAGCAAGACTGTCAACCCTTTTGACAGCTCCTCCCTCACTGCCATTATTCTTACCTCTCAAACTCCCAAACTGTCATAACTCTCTGGTGAGACAATCTGCAAATCCGTGGAGAATATTGAAATTAATAGATTTGTCGGAAACCTGACAGCATCTTTGTTGGGCCTGCTCACGTCAGCTCTGCCCGATCTAACTAGTTAACTAACTAGTTACGAGAACGTGGATCAATAAGATCGTGAGCCGTGCTGCGATGGATTGATTCGACCACCGGTGGAGTCAGCTGCCAAACCCAACGCCTGAACCAGCTTGCACATGTGGAATATCAGTTATTTAGGTACCCACCAACAAGAACGAGCGAATGCCATGCGAGGAGCAACCGCGGCAGCAGAGGTACGTGGGGAATAATTAACCCAATTTAGCAGCCAAGTGCACTTCATTTTGGGAGGAGGTAACGTTAACTACGGAGTACGGATTCTTTTTTTCTGCTTCTAGGTTCCGAAGACCAATGGCATCAGGGGAACGCGGAGCCCTCTAAATCTATGTGATTGAACCAGTATTTTGATAAATGCACTATTCTTTCTGTACAGCAATGTGGGGAAGAGGCCTTCCATTAATTGAACTGAATGTTGTTGTTCTAGAAATAAGTCTTGTGAGATTCTGCGAGGCTGGCTTTTATACCCCTCCCCATCTCTGTTGATGAACAGATAATGATCCACTCAACCATGTATACCTAGAGTTTGCAGATGTTGGGATGAATCCCCAGTGGCTCTGAATTCAATACGCAGTAATAAATAACAATTGACGATTCCGGCTATGGCTTCATTCGTTACATCCTTTCAATTTTATCATTTTTGTACGTACTTTTTCACGTCATCTATGGTCGAGGCCTGTGTTCTCCTTTACCTGCTTGGTATGCTATCTTCTTATCTAAACATTGATTTACGGATCGTTCACACTCTGATATACAACCTTTTATTTATTCACACGCTGTTTATCACAAGAATGGAGTATATCAGATGTATGAAATCCCCATTTCTAACTACAGCTTTCTCATTGCTCATTGCAGCTGCCCTCGGCTATTCTGTGAACATGTTTGTGTTATTTCTACAGAGCAGATTCGCTCAATGGTCAGACTGCATTTGAGTTTTGATAAAGATAGCTTGAAGAATCCCGTAAGAACCTTAACTAACTAGCAGCGTTTGGGTTTGAATTTCTTAGCGCATATGTTTTCGTCGCCTACTGCGGCTAGTAAAGTCTTTGGAGGTTATTGGAAACTCTCAGGTAAAGCTCAATGGACAACGGCCTTGAGAAGAGGAGATGGGGGAAACCTAGAATGGTCCAAACACTGTTCAGATTCTGAATAAGGGCCATATTCCTGTTTGAATGAGAAAAGACGCAGAAACCTTATATTATTCTTTAGCATTTAAATAACTCTTGTCAAAAGGAGACCTTTAGTGTGTAGCAGTAGAATATAACGGATGGCAGGGTCTTTGATGGTAGTCTGTCATTCGACAACTAAATATCTCTCAAAAAGGCGGTTGAGGTCAATCGACACTCCAGAAAACTAATTAACTAGTTAGTTAAAGTTAGTTATAGTTAGTTATAATCATCTTTCGAACACCCGTCCTTCGCCAACAGAAAAGAAGAACGATGGCGGTTGAAGGTTCAGACTGCTCAAGGGTTGCCCCTTTGATGCAGGTGCTCTTCAATGCCAAATCTCGTGGTGCAAGGGTTCATCCAACGACCATATGATTCCAATGTCGGCCTGACATCCCGCGTATTCGTCCAGTGGGCGAAGTGGGTTATGTAACTAACTAGTTATCTATAAAAAACTCGAGCCTACGGCCTCCCGAAGGCCGAAGCGGGCAAATAGGGTGTCCAACATCTAATAAAGATACCCAAACCCTGTTGACCCCCCCCCCCCCCCCCGCGTGGCGCAGCCAAACCGTAACCAAGCCATTTATTTAACTAGATAGTTAACCAATTCGAAGTGCCAAAAGCTTTCTCCCTTGGCAGGTGATGCGAGTCTGACGAAGGCCATTATGCACAAATAACGATGCACATCAACACATGCTCTGCACCGCACCCGCGTGTGTATTTTCTCCATCATCAGCTACGTGAACGGTTTTTTTTTTTATTTATTTATTTATTTATTTAGCTGGCTGATATCCAGAGGCTGTGTGTGATTGAACTTGTTTTGCCTCAACTTCTCGAGTGGACATCAATCCAGCTGAACTGTCCTTCGGGGGGTGGAAGAAGTCGCTTCTGCTGTGAGCTGGTTCGTCCAGCCGGGGTGCATGGCGGCTGCCGTAGCCATTGGCTTTGGGTCAGGTTCGCACTGCGAATATCGCTGCAGTCACTTGAGAATTCGAAAATACTTGTAGAGGACGATAAATAGCTTACCCTAGGAACCCTTTCATCCTATACCGCTCCCTGTGTTGTTCTCCTTGTGTTCCTCTCTGGAAAGCTGGCTCCTAGTAGTTATTTATGAGTCACTCTCTCTCTTTTGCTCTCCCTATAGATTTCTCAAGTCTCCAACATTGTTGTTGTTATACTTCAGACACTCATTTTTTGCTCCGGATTGTCTTCTTTTCTGCCTTCTTGTTTACTGGTAAATTGTGGAAGTCATTTTTCATACATCCGTGACTGTCGTCACAGAATGGTATGTCAAGACCTCTGCATTGCTTTATACTGCTCTATATCATATTCAGTGACTCATGAAGACACAGTTGCATTCTATTGCAATGTCCTGGAAAGAGCCTCTTGCATCTTCTACCTTGTCACTCGCCCTGTTTACTCTTGTGGCATTATGGCTAGTCAACTTCGCCAAAAAAGTCCATAAGGGATACCATGACTTCCTGGCACTTGGTCCCGGCGGAACTCCCTCTACGCCCGCTGGCTACCTCCGCATATGCGTCTTACGGATCTTTACCTTGCGTAATCCTCTAAATCCTCCCTCCCTTCCATCCTACATCCATCCACAGAGCGGGATCCTAAAAGACCTTCCCAGACGAATCGGCAATCGCCCAGAGATCGTCGGAATTGCTCCACAGCGTCAGATGACTGATAGGGGCTCGAAAGCTATCTACACTGCATTGACGGCAACGATCAAAGAATTATCACTCCGGCATCCGGATAGTTTGTTCTTGGGGACCTCCCGTTTCGAAAAGCACAACACGGGCCTGTTTTCTCTGCCCCGATGTCAAAGTCACCTGACATGCAACGGGGAGATCTGCCACTCCCACCCTTTCGACGGAAGCATGCACCTCACTCTCCACCCGGCAGACGTCAAAACCATCATCGAAAAGGGTTGGGGTGAGCGCCATCCCCTTGCCAGAGAGAGCTGGTGGTGGTGGTTTCGATGCGTCCCTCCCACCTTTGTCATGATCTATTCCCCCCGTACAATGGAGGAAGTGCGTTGCGTCACTCATATCATTTATGCTGCGTCATGGTGGATAAGCGGAATTGATTTGCGCAAATCCACATCAGACGGCATGGCACCAACGTCTCAGGGGCAGGGTGGTGATGTGAAAAGTGAAGGTGTCATA